TACACACACACTATACACACACTATACACACACAGTACACACACAGTACACACACAGTACACACACTATACACACACAGTACACACACAGTACACACACAGTACACACACAGTACACACACAGTACACACACACTATACACACACAGTACACACTATACACACACAGTACACACTATACACACACACAGTACACACTATACACACACACTATACACACACACTATACACACACACAGTACACACTATACACACACACTATACACACACTATACACACACACTATACACACACTATACACACACTATACACACACAGTACACACACGGTACTCACACAACACCCTATAAGCAATACACATAAACTATACACCACTAATACACCGGGGTGTCCCTCCTGGCCCTAAGTATGGCGGCGGTGTATGCCTCACTTGGGCCCCTCACCTTTAACATACACCAACTTCCCCCTCAGGTGTATTTTCGGCAGCTCTAATAGTATATTTTAGGCAGCTTTAATGGTGTATTTTGAGCCGTTGTATTCCAGAAGAGTTCATCAACTGGTGTATGTTGTATAGTGTTGTTTCACTTGGAGCTGTTTATTGGTGTATTTTGTTGGGTCTTTCAGTGTGAGGTACAGTGTAGTGTGAGGTACAGTGTAGTGTGAGTAGTGAGGTACAGTGTAGTGTGAGGTACAGTGTAGTGTGAGTAGTGTGAGGTACAGTGTAGTGTGAGGTACAGTGTAGTGTGAGGTACAGTGTAGTGTGAGGTACAGTGTAGTGTGAGGTACAGTGTAGTGTGAGGTACAGTGTAGTGTGAGGTACAGTGTAGTGTGAGTAGTGTGAGGTACAGTGTAGTGTGAGGTACAGTGTAGTGTGAGTAGTGTGAGGTACAGTGAAGTGTTAGCAGTGAGGTACAGTGTAGTGTGAGGTACAGTGTAGTGTGAGGTACAGTGTAGTGTGAGGTACAGTGTAGTGTGAGGTACAGTGTAGTGTGAGGTACAGTGTAGTGTGAGGTACAGTGTAGTGTGAGGTACAGTGTAGTGTGAGGTACAGTGTAGTGTGAGGTACAGTGTAGTGTGAGGTACAGTGTAGTGTGAGGTACAGTGTAGTGTGAGGTACAGTGTAGTGGGAGCAGTGTGAGGTACAGTGAAGTGTTAGCAGTGAGGTACAGTGTAGTGTGAGTAGTGAGGTACAGTGTAGTGTGAGGTACAGTGTAGTGTGAGGTACAGTGTAGTGTGAGGTACAGTGTAGTGTGAGCAGTGTGAGGTACAGTGTAGTGTGAGGTACAGTGTAGCGTGAGGTACAGTGTAGTGTGAGGTACAGTGTAGTGTGAGGTACAGTGTAGTGTGAGGTACAGTGTAGTGTGAGGTACAGTGTAGTGGGAGCAGTGTGAGGTACAGTGAAGTGTGAGCAGTGAGGTACAGTGTAGTGTGAGTTGTGTGAGGTACAGTGTAGTGTGAGGTACAGTGTAGTATGAGCAGTGTGAGGTACAGTGTAGCGTGAGCAGTGTGAGGTACAGTGTAGCGTGAGCAGTGTGAGGTACAGTGTAGTGTGAGCAGTGTGAGGTACAGTGTAGTGTGAGCAGTGTGAGGTACAGTGTAGTGTGAGCAGTGTGAGGTACAGTGTAGTGTGAGCAGTGTGAGGTACAGTGTAGTGTGTGCAGTGTGAGGTACAGTGTAGTGTGTGCAGTGTGAGGTACAGTGTAGTGTGAGCAGTGAGGTACAGTGTAGTGTGAGCAGTGTGAGGTACAGTGTAGTGTGAGCAGTAGGGTACAGTGTAGTGTGAGGTACAGTGTAGTGTGAGCAGTGTGAGGTACAGTGTAGTGTGTGCAGTGTGAGGTACAGTGTAGTGTGAGCAGTGTGAGGTACAGTGTAGTGTGAGCAGTGTGAGGTACAGTGTAGTGTGTGCAGTGTGAGGTACAGTGTAGTGTGAGCAGTGTGAGGTACAGTGTAGTGTGAGCAGTGTGAGGTACAGTGTAGTGTGTGCAGTGTGAGGTACAGTGTAGTGTGAGCAGTGTGAGGTACAGTGTAGTGTGTGCAGTGTGAGGTACAGTGTAGTGTGAGGTACAGTGTAGTGTGAGGTACAGTGTAGTGTGAGCAGTGTGAGGTACAGTGTAGTGTGAGCAGTGTGAGGTACAGTGTAGTGTGAGCAGTGTGAGGTACAGTGTAGTGTGAGCAGTGTGAGGTACAGTGTAGTGTGAGCAGTGTGAAGTACAGTGTAGTGTGAGCAGTGTGAAGTACAGTGTAGTGTGAGCAGTGTGAGGTACAGTGTAGTGTGAGCAGTGTGAGGTACAGTGTAGTGTGAGCAGTGTGAGGTACAGTGTAGTGTGAGCAGTGTGAGGTACAGTGTAGTGTGAGTAGTGTGAGGTACAGTGTAGTGTGAGCAGTGTGAGGTACAGTGTAGTGTGAGCAGTGTGAGGTACAGTGTAGTGTGAGCAGTGTGAGGTACAGTGTAGTGTGAGCAGTGTGAGGTACAGTGTAGTGTGAGTTGTAGTGTTGGCGGCTATGTCACCCTCCCGTCAGGGAAGGCATAGGGAAGACCGTTGGATCAGTGCCCGTGGGGGTCAGGTCCCGTGGGGGTCAGGGTCCGTGGGGGTCAGGTCCCGTGGGGGTCAGGTCCCGTGGGGGTCAGGTCCCGTGGGGGTCAGGTCCCGTGGGGGTCAGGTCCCGTGGGGGTCAGAGGTCCGTGGGGGACAGGACCCGACGGGTCAGGGTCCGTGGGGGTCAGGTCCCGTGGGGGTCAGGTCCCGTGGGGGTCAGGTCCCGTGGGGGTCAGGTCCCGTGGGGGTCAGGTCCCGTGGGGGTCAGGGTCCGTGGGGGTCAGGGTCCGTGGGGGTCAGGTCCCGTGGGGGGTCAGGTCCCGTGGGGTCAGGGTCCGTGGGGGTCAGGTCCCGTGGGGTCAGGGTCCGTGGGGGTCAGGTCCCGTGGGGGTCAGAGGTCCGTGGGGGTCAGGTCCCGTGGGGGGTCAGGTCCCGTGGGGGTCAGGGTCCGTGGGGGTCAGGGTCCGTGGTGGTCAGGTCCCGTGGGGGTCAGGGTCCGTGGGGGTCAGGGTCCGTGGGGTCAGGTCCCGTGGGGGTCAGGGTCCGTGGGGGTCAGGGTCCGTGGGGGTCAGGTCCCGTGGGGGTCAGAGGTCCGTGGGGGTCAGAGGTCCGTGGGGGTCAGGTTCCGTGGGGGTCAGGGTCCGTGGGGGTCAGGTCCCGTGGGGGGTCAGGTCCCGTGGGGGGTCAGGTTCCGTGGGGGTCAGGGTCCGTGGGGGTCAGGGTCTGTGGGGGTCAGGGTCCGTGGGGGTCAGGTTACGGTCCCACCACTCTCCTTGCTGTTTGTTGCCTGAAGCTGATGATGCCTTAAGGTTCTCGCTAGAGAGTCTTACAGTGAGTCCCAGGTACTCTATGCAGGTGATGCTGTGTTCTTAGCACCAGCAATGCATCAAACACTAATGTTTGATGCAGGTTGGCCTCCTCCAAGCCTCGGGCGCCTATACCCAGTGTCCTCCTAAGGTATTAGTTCACTCTCGGGTTCCTCTGATACTAGTGACTTATGCAATAGTGTCGGAACACTCAGCAGCACAATAGTGTTGTGTCGATACCGCTCCGGCGATCACAGCACGAGGCTGGGGACGAGGGACTTGACCCCCTAGAGGGGAGAGGAGGCGAGCACAGCCTCTCAGCCCAAGGCCTGGCCAGCGAGTGACCCTACCCCCTGTCCCACCACCGTTCCCCCTGTCCCACCACCGTTCTCCCTGTCCCACCACCGTTCCCTGTGTCCCACCACCGTTCCCCCTGTCCCACCACCGTTCCCCCTGTCCCACCACCCTTCCCTCTGTCCCACCACCCTTCTCCCTGTCCCACCACCCTTCTCCCTGTCCCACCACCCTTCTCCCTGTCCCACCACCCTTCCCCCTGTCCCACCACCTTTCTCCCTGTCCCACCACCCTTCCCCCTGTCCCACCACCCTTCTCCCTGTCCCACCACCCTTCTCCCTGTCCCACCACCCTTCCCCCTGTCCCACCACCCTTCTCCCTGTCCCACCACCCTTCTCCCTGTCCCACCACCCTTCTCCCTGTCCCACCACCCTTCCCCCTGTCCCACCACCCTTCTCCCTGTCCCACCACCCTTCCCCCTGTCCCACCACCTTTCTCCCTGTCCCACCACCCTTCTCCCTGTCCCACCACCCTTCTCCCTGTCCCACCACCCTTCCCCCTGTCCCACCACCTTTCTCCCTGTCCCACCACCCTTCTCCCTGTCCCACCACCCTTCTCCCTGTCCCACCACCCTTCTCCCTGTCCCACCACCCTTCCCCCTGTCCCACCACCTTTCCCCCTGTCCCACCACCCTTCTCCCTGTCCCACCACCCTTCTCCCTGTCCCACCACCCTTCTCCCTGTCCCACCACCCTTCCCCCTGTCCCACCACCTTTCTCCCTGTCCCACCACCCTTCCCCCTGTCCCACCACCCTTCCCCCTGTCCCACCACCCTTCTCCCTGTCCCACCACCCTTCTCCCTGTCCCACCACCCTTCCCCCTGTCCCACCACCCTTCTCCCTGTCCCACCACCCTTCTCCCTGTCCCACCACCCTTCTCCCTGTCCCACCACCCTTCTCCCTGTCCCACCACCCTTCTCCCTGTCCCACCACCCTTCCCCCTGTCCCACCACCCTTCTCCCTGTCCCACCACCTTTCCCCCTGTCCCACCACCCTTCTCCCTGTCCCACCACCCTTCTCCCTGTCCCACCACCCTTCCCCCTGTCCCACCACCCTTCCCCCTGTCCCACCACCCTTCTCCCTGTCCCACCACCCTTCCCCCTGTCCCACCACCCTTCCCCCTGTCCCACCACCCTTCCCCCTGTCCCACCACCCTTCCCCCTGTCCCACCACCTTTCCCCCTGTCCCACCACCCTTCCCCCTGTCCCACCACCCTTCCCCCTGTCCCACCACCCTTCCCTCTGTCCCACCACCCTTCCCCCTGTCCCACCACCCTCCCCCCTCCCCCCCCCCTCCATTAACCTCACCAATGGGCTCCTCCGCCGCGGCCACAACTCTCCAGAATGGACAGTGGATCCCTGCTGATGACGGGATCCGTCTCCTGCCTGAGAGTGAGGGCTCTGCTGGAGGGAGATGATGGCTGGGGCTCCACTGATGGACGGCTGGGGGGAGGCTCCTCTGATGGACGGCTGGGGGGAGGCTCCTCTGATGGACGGCTGGGGGGAGGCTCCACTGATGGACGGCTGGGGGGAGGCTCCTCTGATGGAAGGCTGGGGGGAGACTCCACTGATGGACGGCTGGGGGGAGGCTCCACTGATGGACGGCTGGGGGGAGGCTCCTCTGATGGAAGGCTGGGGGGAGGCTCCACTGATGGACGGCTGGGGGGAGGCTCCACTGATGGACGGCTGGGGGGAGGCTCCACTGATGGACGGCTGGGGGGAGGCTCCACTGATGGACGGCTGGGGGGAGGCTCCTCTGATGGACGGCTGGGGGGAGGCTCCACTGATGGACGGCTGGGGGGAGGCTCCACTGATGGACGGCTGGGGGGAGGCTCCTCTGATGGACGGCTGGCGGGAGGCTCCTCTGATGGACGGCTGGGGGGAGGCTCCTCTGATGGACGGCTGGGGGGAGGCTCCACTGATGGACGGCTGGGGGGAGGCTCCACTGATGGACGGCTGGGGGGAGGCTCCTCTGATGGACGGCTGGCGGGAGGCTCCTCTGATGGACGGCTGGGGGGAGGCTCCACTGATGGACGGCTGGGGGGAGGCTCCTCTGATGGACGGCTGGGGGGAGGCTCCTCTGATGGACGGCTGGGGGGAGGCTCCACTGATGGACGGCTGGCGGGAGGCTCCTCTGATGGACGGCTGGGGGGAGGCTCCTCTGATGGACGGCTGGGGGGAGGCTCCTCTGATGGACGGCTGGGGGGAGGCTCCACTGATGGACGGCTGGCGGGAGGCTCCTCTGATGGCCGGCTGGGGGGAGGCTCGTCTGATGGACGGCTGGGGGGAGGCTCCACTGATGGACGGCTGGGGGGAGGCTCCTCTGATGGACGGCTGGGGGGAGGCTCCTCTGATGGACGGCTGGGGGGAGGCTCCTCTGATGGACGGCTGGGGGGAGGCTCCACTGATGGACGGCTGGCGGGAGGCTCCTCTGATGGACGGCTGGGGGGAGGCTCCTCTGATGGACGGCTGGCGGGAGGCTCCTCTGATGGACGGCTGGCGGGAGGCTCCTCTGATGGACGGCTGGCGGGAGGCTCCTCTGATGGACGGCTGGCGGGAGGCTCCTCTGATGGACGGCTGGGGGGAGGCTCCTCTGATGGACGGCTGGGGGGAGGCTCCTCTGATGGACGGCTGGGGGGAGGCTCCTCTGATGGACGGCTGGCGGGAGGCTCCTCTGATGGACGGCTGGGGGGAGGCTCCACTGATGGACGGCTGGGGGGAGGCTCCTCTGATGGACGGCTGGGGGGAGGCTCCTCTGATGGACGGCTGGGGGGAGGCTCCACTGATGGACGGCTTGGGGGAGGCTCCACTGATGGACGGCTGGGGGGAGGCTCCTCTGATGGACGGCTGGGGGGACTGATGGACGGCTGGGGGGAGGCTCCTCTGATGGACGGCTGGGGGGAGGCTCCTCTGATGGACGGCTGGGGGGAGGCTCCACTGATGGACGGCTGGGGGGAGGCTCCTCTGATGGACGGCTGGGGGGAGGCTCCTCTGATGGACGGCTGGGGGGAGGCTCCTCTGATGGACGGCTGGGGGGAGGCTCCTCTGATGGACGGCTGGGGGGAGGCTCCTCTGATGGACGGCTGGGGGGAGGCTCCTCTGATGGACGGCTGGGGGGAGGCTCCTCTGATGGACGGCTGGGGGGAGGCTCCTCTGATGGACGGCTGGGGGGAGGCTCCTGGGGGGAGGCTCCTCTGATGGACGGCTGGGGGGAGGCTCCACTGATGGACTGGACGGGGGGGAGGCTCCACTGATGGACGGCTGGGGGGAGGCTCCTCTGATGGACGGCTGGGGGGAGGCTCCACTGATGGACGGCTGGGGGGAGGCTCCTCTGATGGACGGCTGGGGGGAGGCTCCTCTGATGGACGGCTGGCGGGAGGCTCCTCTGATGGACGGCTGGGGGGAGGCTCCTCTGATGGACGGCTGGCGGGAGGCTCCTCTGATGGACGGCTGGCGGGAGGCTCCTCTGATGGACGGCTGGGGGGAGGCTCCTCTGATGGACGGCTGGCGGGAGGCTCCTCTGATGGACGGCTGGGGGGAGGCTCCTCTGATGGACGGCTGGCGGGAGGCTCCTCTGATGGACGGCTGGGGGGAGGCTCCTCTGATGGACGGCTGGCGGGAGGCTCCTCTGATGGACGGCTGGCGGGAGGCTCCTCTGATGGACGGCTGGCGGGAGGCTCCTCTGATGGACGGCTGGCGGGAGGCTCCTCTCTCCTTACTGCAACACAAACATTAGCCTCACTCTCAGTCTGGAGTCTTGACAGGTGGACACATTGACAGTCTCTCCTGGACCTCCTATATGCTGTAGAGACTTTCTTGGTGGCTTATGAGAGAACCATTGTGATTGTGAGGGAAGATTTTGATTGTGAGGGAAGATTTTGATTGTGAGGGGAAGATTTTGATTGTGAGGGGAAGATTTTGATTGTGAGGGGAAGATTTTGATTGTGAGGGGAAGATTTTGATTGTGAGGGACGAATTTTTATTGATTGTGAGATAAGGGATTTTAATTGTCAGGGGACTACCTACATTTTAATATTTTGTGATGATTCAGGGAATCATCATTCCGCGGCCCGGTCTCGGAACCTAGTGTCCTGGTTGCTGGTCTGGTCAACCAGGCTGTTGCTCACGTATGAGTCACAGTCTGGTTAATCAGGTATCCTTTGGAGGTGTTTGTTAAATTCTCTCTTGAACACTGTGAGGGGTCGGCCAGTTATGCCCCTTATGTGTAGTGGAAGCGTGTTGAACAGTCTCGGGCCTCTGATGTTGATAGTTCTCTCTTGAACCCTGTGAGGGGTCGGCCAGTTATGTCCCTTATGTGTAGTGGAAGCGTGTTGAACAGTCTCGGGCCTCTGATGTTGATAGTTCTCTCTTGAACACTGTGAGGGGTCGGCCAGTTATGCCCCTTATGTGCAGTGGAAGCGTGTTGAACAGTCTCGGGCCTCTGATGTTGATAGTTCTCTCTTGAACACTGTGAGGGGTCGGCCAGTTATGCCCCTTATGTGCAGTGGAAGCATGTTGAACAGTCTCGGGTCTCTGATGTTGATAGAGTTCTCTCTCAGAGTACCTGTTGCATCTCTGCTCTTCAACGGGGGTATTCTGCACATCCTGCCATGTCTTCTGGTCTCATGTGATGTTATTTCTGTGTGCAGGTTTGGGACCAGCCCCTCAATTATTTTCCACGTGTAAATTATTATGTATCTCTCCCGCCTACGCTCAAAGGAATACAGATTTAGGCTCTTTAGTCGGTCCCAATAGTTTAGATGCTTTACTGAGTGGATTCTAACAGTAAAGGATCTGTGCACGCTCTCCAGGTCCGCAATTGCTCCAGCTCTGAATGGAGCTGTTAGAGTGCAACAATATTCCACCCTAGAGAGCACTAGGGTGTTCAGTGCCGGAACAACCGTCGACATCTTCAAGAGAAAAACTAGATTGTTTTCTTCAAGGAGTGCCGGACCAACCGGGCTGTGGTGGGTATGTGGGCCTGCGGGCCGCTCCAAGCAACAGCCTGGTGGACCAAACTCTCACAAGTCTAGGGGAGTAGAATAACTCCCAGAACCCCATCAAGCAGTGTCTTAAAAGGTATAGCATATGAAGGTCCGTGTTATCCAACCTGTCATTGTTCTGGCGGTCGTGGCAGAGGCTTTATGATGTTGTGTAAAGGTAAGGTCTTCTCACATGATGACTCCTACAGCCTCTACATTGCTTTTCCCTCCTCCTTCTCCTCCCCCCTCCTCCTCCTTCTCCCCCCGTCCTCCTCCTTCTCCCCTCCCCCCCCTCCTCCCCTCCCCCCCCCCCCCCTCCTCCCCCCCCCCCCTCCTCCTCCCCCCCCCCCCCCTCCTCCTCCCCCTCCATGAGTTAATTACTGTGGTGTTAATTACTGGTTCTCTCCTCCCCAGGTGAGTGTGTGAGGGTGTCTCCACCTCGTCTCTGTCCATCACCCCAAACTTGTTTCTCAACTTACCTGTAAGTTAATAACTAATTTATTTGTCATTTGTATGTTAATGGAATCTGCAGATATAGCTCCTTTGCACAAGGGGGGGGGTACTAAAGACTTGGCAAAAAATATAGGCCAGTTGCACTAACATCACACATAATAAAAGTTTTTGAAAGAGTGATTAGGAATCAAATTTCTAGTTTTATGGAAAATAATGAGTTATACAACCCAGGACAACATGGATTTAGAGCGGGAAGATCCTGTCTGTCACAGTTACTCAACCACTATGATAAAATCACAGAAGCTCTAGAGGAAAAGCAAAATGCAGATGTTGTATACACAGACTTTGCAAAGGCGTTCGACAAATGTGACCATGGGGTGATAGCACACAAAATGAGGTCAATGGGAATAACTGGTAAAGTAGGACACTGGATACTCAATTTCCTGTCGAACAGAACACAGAGTAACAGTCAATCAAATAAAATCAAGTTCAAGCGCAGTTAAAAGCTCTGAACCTCAAGATAGTCCTTGTACCACTACTGTTCCTTATTCTCATATCACATATAGATAAAAATACAAGTCACAGCTTCGTGTCATCCTTTGCAGATGACACAAAAATCAGCATGAAAATTACCTCTGCTGAAGACATTGAAAAATTACAAGCAGATATTAACAAAGTTTTCGATTGGGCAGCATAAAATAACATGATGTTTAACAGTGATAAATTCCAAGAACTCAGGTACGGCAAAAATGAGGACCTTAAACATAATACAGGGTACAAAACACAATCAAATATGCCCATAGTAGGAAAACAGCACGTCAAGGATTTGGGAATAATGATGATGTCCCGTCTTGAGTACTGCTCAGTACTCACTTCCCCCTTCAGAGCAGGAGAGATTGCTGAAATAGAGGGAATACAGAGAACATATACGGCACGCATAGACGAGATAAAACACCTAAATTATTGGGATCGTCTCAAAGCTCTCCAAATGTACTCACTAGAAAGGAGACGAGAGAGATATCAAATAATATACACATGGAAAATACTGGAGGGACAGGTTCCAAATCTACACAGTAAAATAACAACGTACTGGAGTGAACGATATGGAAGAAAATGCAGAATAGAACCAGTGAAGAGCAGAGGTGCCATAGGCACAATCAGAGAACACTGTATAAACATCAGAGGTCCGCGGTTGTTCAACGTCCTCCCAGCGACTATAAGAAATATTGCCAGAACAACCGTGGACATCTTCAAGAGAAAACTGGACCGTTTTCAAAGAGAACTTCCGGATCAGCCGGACTGTGGTGTGTATGTGGGCCTGCGGGCCGCTCCAAGCAACAGCCTGGTGGACCAAATTCTAACAAGTCAAGCCTGGCCTCGGGCCGGGCTTGGGAAGTAGAAGAACTCCCCGAACCCCATCAAGCAGGTCATTTTCTAGTGAACCATTTTACAATGTGAGTAGTTCATGTTAATTGTCTGTTTAACCTAGTGAGGGGAATTATGTTGGGCAGGTGTGTGGCTGTGTGGTCTCCCAGCAGGTGTGTGGCTGTGTGGTCTCCCAGCAGGTGTGTGTGGCCTAGCAGCAGGTGTGTGGCTGTGTGGTCTCCCAGCAGGTGTGTGTGGCTGTGTGGTCTAGCAGCAGGTGTGTGGCTGTGTGGTCTCCCAGCAGGTGTGTGGCTGTGTGGTCTCCCAGCAGGTGTGTGTGGTCTAGCAGCAGGTGTGTGGCTGTGTGGTCTCCCAGTAGGTGTGTGTGGCTGTGTGGTCTCCCAGCAGGTGTGTGTGGCTGTGTGGTCTCCCAGCAGGTGTGTGTGGCTGTGTGGTCTCCCAGCAGGTGTGTGTGGCTGTGTGGTCTCCCAGCAGGTGTGTGTGGCTGTGTGGTCTCCCAGCAGGTGTGTGTGGCTGTATGGTCTCCCAGCAGGTGTGTGTGGCTGTGTGGTCTCCCAGCAGGTGTGTGTGGCAGTGTGGTCTCCCAGCAGGTGTGTGTGGATGTGTGGTCTCCCAGCAGGTGTGTGTGGCTGTGTGGTCTCCCAGCAGGTGTGTGTGGCTGTGTGGTCTCCCAGCAGGTGTGTGGCTGTGTGGTCTCCCTGCAGGTGTGTGGCTGTGTGGTCTCCCAGCAGGTGTGTGGCTGTGTGGTCTCCCTGCAGGTGTGTGGTCTCCCAACAGGTGTGTGGTCTCCCAGCAGGTGTGTGGCTGTGGTGTCTCCCTGCAGGTGTGTGGCTGTGTGGTCTCCCAGCAGGTGTGTGGCTGTGTGGTCTCCCAGCAGGTGTGTGGCTGTGTGGTCTCCCAGCAGGTGTGTGGCTGTGTGGTCTCCCAGCAGGTGTGTGGTCTCCCTGCAGGTGTGTGGTCTTCCAACAGGTGTGTGGTCTCCCAGCAGGTGTGTGGCTGTGTGGTCTCTCTGCAGGTGTGTGGCTGTGTGGTCTCCCTGCAGGTGTGTGGTCTCCCAACAGGTGTGTGGTCTCCCAGCAGGTGTGTGGCTGTGTGGTCTCCCAGCAGGTGTGTGGCTGTGTGGTCTCCCTGCAGGTGTGTGGCTGTGTGGTCTCCCAGCAGGTGTGTGGCTGTGTGGTCTCCCTGCAGGTGTGTGATCTCTCAGCAGGTGTGTGGCTGTGTGGTCTCCCATTAGGTGTGTGGGTATGTGGTCTCCCTGCAGGTGTGTGCTCTCCCAACAGGTGTGTGGTCTCCCAGCAGGTGTGTGGCTGTGTGGTCTCCCTGCAGGTGTGTGGCTGTGTGGTCTCCCTGCAGGTGTGTGGCTGTGTGGTCTCCCAGCAGGTGTGTGGCTGTGTGGTCTCCCTGCAGGTGTGTGGTCTCCCAACAGGTGTGTGGTCTCCCAGCAGGTGTGTGGCTGTGTGGTCTCCCAGCAGGTGTGTGGCTGTGTGGTCTCCCTGCAGGTGTGTGGTCTCCCAACAGGTGTGTGATCTCTCAGCAGATGTGTGGCTATGTGGTCTCCCAGCAGGTATGTGGCTGTGTGGTCTCCCAGCAGGTGTGTGGCTGTGTGGTCTCCCTGCAGGTGTGTGGTCTCCCAACAGGTGTGTGATCTCTCAGCAGATGTGTGGCTGTGTGGTCTCCCAGCAGGTGTGTGGCTGTGTGGTCTCCCAGCAGGTGTGTGGTTGTGTGGTCTCCCTGCAGGTGTGTAGTCTCCCAGCAGGTATGTGGCTGTGTGGTCTCCCTGCAGGTGTGTTGCTGTGTGGTCTCCCTGCAGGTGTGTGGTCTCCCAACAGGTGTGTGATCTCTCAGCAGATGTGTGGCTGTGTGGTCTGCCAGCAGGTGTGTGGCTGTGTGGTCTCCCAGCAGGTGTGTGGTTGTGTGGTCTCCCTGCAGGTGTGTGGCTGTGTGATCTCCCTGCAGGTGTGTGGTCTCCCAACAGGTGTGTGATCTCCCAGCAGGTGTGTGGCTGTGTGGTCTCCCTGCAGGTGTGTGTCTGTGTGGTCTCCCTGCAGGTGTGTGTCTGTGTGGTCTCCCTGCAGGTGTGTTGCTCTGTGGTCTCCCTGCAGGTATGTGGCTGTGTGGTCTCCCTGCAGTTGTGTGGCTGTGTGGTCACCCTGCAGGTGTGTGGTCTCCCAGCAGGTATGTGGTCTCCCAGCAGTTGTGTGGCTGTGTGGTCTCCCTGCAGGTGTGTAGCTGTGTGGTCTGCCAGCAGGTGTGTGGTCTGCCAGCAGGTGTGTGGCTGTGTGGTCTGCCAGCAGGTGTGTGGCTGTGTGGTCTGCCAGCAGGTGTGTGGCTGTGTGGTCTGCCAGCAGGTGTGTGGCTGTGTGGTCTGCCAGCAGGTGTGTGGCTGGGAGACCACAAGGCGGTGCTCTACAGGATGTGCCAAGAGTGACGGTGCTCTACAGCATGTGCCAAGAGTGACGGTGCTCTACAGGAAGAGTGCCAAGAGTGACGGTGCTCTACAGGATGAGTGCCAAGAGTGACGGTGCTCTACAGGATGAGTGCCAAGAGTGACGGTGCTCTACAGGATGAGTGCCAAGAGTGACGGTGCTCTACAGGAAGAGTGCCAAGAGTGACGGTGCTCTACAGGGAGAGTGCCAAGAGTGACGGTGCTCTACAGGATGAGTGCCAAGAGTGACGGTGCTCTACACGATGAGTGCCAAGAGTGACGGTGCTCTACAGGATGAGTGCCAAGAGTGACGGTGCTCTACAGGATGAGTGCCAAGAGTGACGGTGCTCTACAGGATGAGTGCCAAGAGTGACGGTGCTCTACAGGATGAGTGCCAAGAGTGACGGTGCTCTACAGGATGAGTGCCAAGAGTGACGGTGCTCTACAGGATGAGTGCCAAGAGTGACGGTGCTCTACAGGAAGAGTGCCAAGAGTGACGGTGCTCTACAGGAAGAGTGCCAAGAGTGACGGTGCTCTACAGGAAGAGTGCCAAGAGTGACGGTGCTCTACAGGAAGAGTGCCAAGAGTGACGGTGCTCTACAGGAAGAGTGCCAAGAGTGACGGTGCTCTACAGGAAGAGTGCCAAGAGTGACGATGCTCTACAGGATGAGTGCCAAGAGTGACGGTGCTCTACAGGATGAGTGCCAAGAGTGACGGTGCTCTACATGATGAGTGCCAAGAGTGACGGTGCTCTACAGGAAGAGTGCCAAGAGTGACGGTGCTCTACAGGAAGAGTGCCAAGAGTGACGGTGCTCTACAGGAAGAGTGCCAAGAGTGACGGTGTTCTACAGGAAGAGTGCCAAGAGTGACGGTGCTCTACAGGATGAGTGCCAAGAGTGCCGGTGCTCTGCAGGATGAGTGCCAAGAGTGACGGTGCTCTACAGGAAGAGTGCCAAGAGTGACGGTGCTCTACAGGATGAGGGCCAAGAGTGACGGTGCTCTACAGGATGAGTGCCAAGAGTGACGGTGCTCTACAGGATGTGCCAAGAGTGACGGTGCTCTACAGGAAGAGTGCCAAGAGTGACGGTGCTCTACAGGAAGAGTGCCAAGAGTGACGGTGCACTACAGGAAGAGTGCCAAGAGTGACGGTGCTCTACAGGAAGAGTGCCAAGAGTGACGGTGCTCTACAGGAAGTGTCAAGAGTGACGGTGCTCTACAGGAAGAGTGCCAAGAGTGACGGTGCTCTACAAGATGAGTGCCAAGAGTGACGGTGCTCTACAGGAAGAGTGCCAAGAGTGACGGTGCTCTACAGGAAGAGTGCCAAGAGTGACGGTGCTCTACAGGAAGAGTGCCAAGAGTGGCGGTGCTCTACAAGATGAGTGCCAAGAGTGACGGTGCTCTACAAGATGAGTGCCAAGAGTGACGGTGCTCTGCAGGAAGAGTGCCAAGAGTGACGGTGCTCTACAGGATGAGTGCCAAGAGTGACGGTGCTCTATAAGATGAGTGCCAAGAGTGACGGTGCTCTATAAGATGAGTGCCAAGAGTGACGGTGCTCTACAGGATGAGTGCCAAGAGTGACGGTGCTCTACAGGATGAGTGCCAAGAGTGACGGTGCTCTACAAGATGAGGTGGGGGGGTGGGGGGTTGTGGGGGTAACGGGGAGGTAAATGTAAGGGGGGGGTTATGGGGCAGAAGAGGGGGGGTTGTCTCTCATTGTTGAAGTATTGACTCATGGGTGACTCACTCCTGGTCACACACCAAAGGAAAGGGCAAAGATGGGGGGGGGGAGAATAGGTGATGTGAAGATGATCAGGGGAACATGAGATAGTGGGAGACACAATATTCATTGTGAGGGGGGCAGGTGACTCACTGTGAGGGGCAGGTGACTCACTGTGAGGGGCAGGTGACTCACTGTGAGGGGCAGGTGACTCACTGTGAGGGGCAGGTGACTCACTGTGAGGGGCAGGTGACTCACTGTGAGGGGCAGTAGACTCACTGTGAGGGGCAGTAGACTCACTGTGAGGGGCAGTAGACTCACTGTGAGGGGCAGTAGACTCACTGTGAGGGGCAGTAGACTCACTGTGAGGGGCAGGTGACTCACTGTGAGGGGCAGTAGACTCACTGTGAGGGGCACGTGACTCACTGTGAGGGGCAGCAGACTCACTGTGAGGGGCAGTAGACTCACTGTGAGGGGCAGTAGACTCACTGTGAGGGGCACGTGACTCACTGTGAGGGGCAGCAGACTCACTGTGAGGGGCAGTAGACTCACTGTGAGGGGCAGTAGACTCACTGTGAGGGGCAGTAGACTCACTGTGAGGGGCAGGTGACTCACTGTGAGGGGCAGTAGACTCACTGTGAGGGGCACGTGACTCACTGTGAGGGGCAGCAGACTCACTGTGAGGGGTAGTAGACTCACTGTGAGGGGCAGTAGACTCACTGTGAGGGGCAGTAGACTCACTGTGAGGGGCAGTAGACTCACTGTGAGGGGCAGTAGACTCATTGTGAGGGGCAGTAGACTCACTGTGAGGGGCAGCAGACTCACTGTGAGGGGCAGTAGACTCATTGTGAGGGGCAGTAGACTCACTGTGAGGGGCAGTAGACTCACTGTGAGGGGCAGCAGACACACTATGAGGGCAGCAGACACACTATGAGGGCAGCAGACACACTATGAGGGCAGTAGACACACTATGAGGGCAGCAGACACACTATGAGGGCAGCAGACACACTATGAGGGCAGCAGACACACTATGAGGGCAGTAGACACACTATGAGGGGCAGCAGACACATTGTCAGGGGCAGCAGACACACTATGAGGGGCAGCAGACACAGTATGAGGGGCAGCAGACACACTATGAGGGGCAGCAGACACACTATGAGGGGCAGCAGACACACTATGAGGGGCAGCAGACACACTATGAGGGCAGCAGACACACTATGAGGGCAGCAGACACACTATGAGGGCAGTAGACACACTATGAGGGCAGCAGACACACTATGAGGGCAGCAGACACACTATGAGGGCAGCAGACACACTATGAGGGCAGTAGACACACTATGAGGGGCAGCAGACACATTGTCAGGGGCAGCAGACACACTATGAGGGGCAGCAGACACACTATGAGGGGCAGCAGACACACTATGAGGGGCAGCAGACACCTTGCAGCCAATAACCACCACTCCAGTTACGTGTGAACAACCACGTAAGAGCGTAACGACTCCTTACGAGCCAAGCAGGTAATTACACCCCTGCTGGCCAGATAATTCGTATTCCTTGCACAGCGTCATTACAGCCACCACCGTGGTTGGGTCAGGCCTCCCCCTCTCCCCCCTAAAGGCACAGGAGCGCGCTCACACGCATGAATGCACTCTGCAACGGTGATCAATAGACTTGCCGCCATCCTCCTGCCGGCTAGCCGGCCGCTGGCCAATATTAAACACATTTCCCCCGCGCATTTAAAGGGGGTGAAGCCAGAGTCAACAGTGGATGGCGGGAAAAGTTGGCGCGCCCACAAAAACCGCGGGAAACTTGTAAACACTGGCGATGCGGTAAGCTTGTTGTAAACACAGACAACGCGGGAAATGTCATAAATATGCGAGACGGAGGCTGCCGGGTGGCTAGTTGGCTGGCTGGCTAGTTGGCTGGCTGGCTAGTTGGCTGGCTGGCTAGTTGGCTGGCTGGCTGGCTGGCTGGCTGGCTGGCTGGCTAGTTGGCTGGCTGGCTGGCTGGCTGACTGGCTAGTTGGCTGGCTAGTTGGCTGGCTGGCTAGTTGACTGGTTGGCTGGCTAGTTGGCTGGCTGGCTGGCTGGCTGGCTGGCTGGCTGGCTGGCTGACTGGCTAGTTGGCTGGCTGGCTGACTGGCTAGTTGGCTGGCTGGCTGGCTGGCTGGCTGGCTGGCTGGCTGACTGGCTAGTTGGCTGGCTAGTTGGCTGGCTAGTTGGCTGGCTGGCTGACTGGCTAGTTGGCTGGCTGGCTAGTTGGCTGGCTGGCTGGCTAGTTGGCTGGCTGACTGGCTAGTTGGCTGGCTGACTGGCTAGTTGGCTGGCTAGTTGGCTGGCTGGCTGGCTAGTTGGCTGGCTGGCTGGCTGGCTGGCTGACTGGCTAGTTGGCTGGCTGGCTGGCTGGCTGGCTGGCTGGCTGGCTGGCTAGTTGGCTGGCTGGCTGGCTGACTGGGTAGTTGGCTGGCTAGTTGGCTGGCTGACTGGCTAGTTGGCTGGCTGACTGGCTAGTTGGCTGGCTAGTTGGCTGGCTGGCTGGCTGGCTGGCTAGTTGGCTGGCTGGCTGGCTGGCTGGCTGGCTGGCTGACTGGCTAGTTGGCTGGCTAGTTGGCTGGCTGGCTGGCTGGCTGGCTGGCTGGCTGGCTGACTGGCTAGTTGGCTGGCTGGCTGGCTGACTGGGTAGTTGGCTGGCTAGTTGGCTGGCTGACTGGCTAGTTGGCTGGCTAGTTGGCTGGCTAGCTGGCTAGCTGGCTGGCTGACTAGGTGGCTGGCTAGTTGGCTGGCTAGTTGGCTGGCTGACTAGCTAGTTGGCTGGCTAGTTGGCTAGCTAGTTGGCTGGCTGACTGGCTAGTTGGCTGGCTGACTGGCTAGTTGGCTGGCTAGTTGGCTGGCTGACTGGCTAGTTGGCTGGCTGGCTGGCTGGCTGACTGGCTAGTTGGCTGGCTAGTTGGCTGGCTAGTTGGCTGGCTGACTGGCTAGTTGGCTGGCTAGTTGGCTAGCTGGCTGGCTGACTAGGTGGCTGGCTGGCTGGTTGTCAACATCAGACAACCTGTCGTCCTACAACCTTATAACAGGATGAGAGGAAACGGCTCTCTTTAGTCCGCCCATAATTAACTATTCTAGAGTGCCCTAGAGTTCCTACTGGAACCTCTCTAGTTCAACACCTTGTCACCTCGGTATTTGATTACCTTGGTGCTACACCCACAAGGTATAGAACCTCATCAGCTACCAGCAACTCTAGAGAACTCTAGAACATTTCACTGCCACGAACGGAAAATAAAAATTAAAATAAATGAAGAGGTTTAAATGGGGCGAGGGAGGTAAAGAGGTAGAAGGGAGGTGGAAGGAGTATGGGAGCAGCCAGGACTGTGGTGAGGTGAAAGGGAAAGTTTGAAAAGATCCGGAGGGAGAGACTGAGAACACTGTGAAGTACAAGTTAGTAGAATAGTAGAAAAGGTAGAGGAGTAGAGAATAGCTGCCACCATCCTTTCTAGTTCAATATATACAAGACAAGGAATGGAACTTGTCTGTACTCTAGGCTGTTATCAAATGATTACTTTAGCATGTATCAATTTATCTAGTGTAAGCATGTACTCATACTCTTTAAGTCAGGGAACTCAGAGTGCTCCACACTCTAGCTTGCACTATATCAGAAAATCCAAGATCTAGGGAACACACAGTCAGATTAAAAAGTAAGTTAATGAAGTAAATATTTAACATGATACTTAATGTTTAACTTAATCTTCACTATGTCAAGATTAATATACCAGGTGAGTGGCCACACATGACACAGACACCACTACGGCTGTCTGCCCCTGAAGTCACACAACACCTTCAGTTGGAAACACCAAATTTGTCACCTTCCAGTTCAACTCACCAAGTGTCTGAGCCTAATCTGGATAGAGAGGTGGGTGGAGTCCCCCGGCCCGTCCGACAGCCTGGAGTTGGCTACTGTTCAATCGTCCAGCCTCTCTGTCTGCTCTGTTCTCTGCTGATCCTCAATGCTCTCGAATGTACAGTTCCCTGGGTATTTATTGGGGGATACTGGAGCTAGCTCTGCCGACTAAGTAGACCCCTCAGGCCATCTACTACACCTTAACCGGCGGCCTGTTTAACATACACACTCCGGCTACCTGTCTGCAGTTACCGGCTTAGCAGAAGCAAAGTCAATTCACACGACCTAACCCCTGGTCAACTCATGGTTATTAACTCTCAAAGAGGTGTGAGTTTTTTGAATTGCTAAGGTCAGACAACCTGGCGCCTCTCAAAATCCTGACTGACTCATGTTCTATGTAAAATACAATATAACTAAACTAAACACCTTTGTGGTGTTACAACCTGTCCTACGAAGAACGTCACTTTTCACACGTATGCGCTACCTAAGGCCAAAAAGAGTCGTAGTAGAAAATGGGAGCGGCTGGCGAAAGTGACGTACTGTCCCGTTTTCTGTTTTGGGTCCTCTGGTAGGTTAGGATAAGGCCACTTTAGTTAGACCGTTTTCTTGAAGTTAGGGGTCCAACCACTTGGGCTGGACAGTAGAGCGACGGTCTCGCTTCATGCAGGTCGGTGTTCAATCCCGGACCGTCCAAGTGGTTGGACACCATTCCTTTCCTCCCCGTCCCATCCCAAATCCTTATCCTGATCCCTTCCCAGTGCTATATAGTCGTTATGGCTTGGCGCTTTCCCAACAATTCCCTTCCCTTCTCCTTCCCTGTTTGTTTAGATTATTAATATTAATATTGAAGTTAGGGGAACGTTAGGAGGCCGGGCTGTATCAACGAGGCTCCATCTTTGGCTTGCCTCACTAAGAGGAGCATCTATGCACAAGCAGGTTGTTTAGTCTGGCAGGTAACTTGTGAAGCCATCAATACTCGTCTCAGACTCGTACTGGGCTGACCTTAACAAGCACCTTGCGCTAATTGGTCCACAACCACATCCCGTTGAAGGAATACAACAGGATACAATAGTTTGTATCGAATTGGACTGTTTGTATCAACAGAATACATATAAACAGCATGAAAGTGAAAGATCCGGACAACTTCTTTATGCGTGATATCCAAACCCCGGTAAATATAACTGATATCAACACGAGCGTGGCAGATTTTGAAAGAGAAATTGACAATATGCCCATGCACTCGGCCCCGGGTCCAGACTCATGAAATTCAATATTCATAAAGAAATGCAAAGCGCCAGTAGTACAGGCACTCAGTATAGTGTGGAGGAAGAGCTTGGATATGGGGGAGATACCAGATGCACTTAAAGTAGCAGACATAGCCCCTCTACACAAAGGAGGAAGCAAAGCATTAGCAAAGAATTATAGGCCAGTTGCACTAACGTCCCACATAATAAAAGTATTTGAGAGAGTGATCAGGAGTCAGGTCACTGGATACATGGAGACCAATGACCTCCACAACCCAGGCAACATTGATTTAGAGCAGGAAGATCATGCTTCTCACAGCTACTTGACTATTAAGACAAAGTCACGGAGGCATTAGAAAAAAACAGAATGCAGATGTGGTCATTTGCGAAGACAGACTTCGCAAATGCATTCGATAATGTGACCATGGCATGATAGCACACAAAATGAGGTCAATGGGAATAACTGATAAAGTAGGACGCTGGATACACAGTTTTCTGTCGAACAGAACACAAAGAGTAATAGTCAACCATTTAAAATCGAGTCCAAGCACAGTTAAAAGCTCTGTATCTCAAGGTACAGTCTTTGCACCGCTACTGTTCCTTATTCTCATATCAGATATAGACTCAAATACAAGTCACAGCTTCGTATCATCCTTTGCAGATGACACAAAAATCAGCATGAAAATTACCTCTGCTGAAGACATTGAAAAATTACAAGCAGATATTAACAAAGTTTTCGATTGGGTAGCAGAAAATAACATGATGTTTTAACAACGATAAATTCCAGGTACTCAGATACGGCAAAAATGAGGATCTGAAACATAATACAGGGTACAAAACACAGTCGAATCTGCCCATAGTAGGAAAACAGCATGTCAAGGATTTGGGAATAATGATGCCTGACGACCTAACGTTTAGGGAGCATAACCAAGCAAATATTGCAACAGCCAGAAAAATGATCGGATGGATTACGAAAACTTTCAAATCCAGGGATCCCATCACAATGGTTGTACTCTTCAAGTCACTTGTCTTGTCCCGTCTTGAGTATTGCTCAGTATTCACTTCCCCCTTCAGAGCTGGAGAGATTGCAGAAATAGAGGGAATACAGAGAACATATACGGCACGCATAGACGAGATAAAGCACCTAAATTATTGGGATCGTCTCAAAGCTCTCCAAATGTACTCACTAGAAAGGAGACGAGAGAGAATGAAAAAGATAATACTCTGAGTGACAGTAATTATGCCATACGACTTACAGAGAACATTCACTCGCGGACCATCCCGAGTTGCTCAGTGATCGAGAAACTGATGATGTCACCAGATGTTCCTGATGACACCAAACGCCAGGTTGGTGTGGCTCTTTACGTCGTAGAGTCACTTATTGACACATTGTGGAAGTGGGACAAGGACAACAATGGGACCACCAGTCC